TTTAAATAAATCAAATTTATATTTATCCTAATTCTATGTTTAACAAAATCAAAATTTATACTAAAATGTTGATATAATAGTAACAAAATTAATATTATTAAATATTTCTTTATGATAATTTAAAGTTCAAAATTTTATTGTTGCATATGGTGCATGAAAACACCTAATTACAAAATAAACACACGGCTAAAATTTATATTGTAATTTAATGGTTTGATTCACATTTTTCGTGATTAAAGGGTAAAATCTATATATTGATAGTATATTTTCCTCACTCTAATGGATGTCCACATAGGCATGTTTTGTGGGTCCCATAAAAAATAAAACAAAAAAATGTAGATCAAAAGTCGAATTCAAGTTACTTACTATTCGAACAAAGTCTTTTCCACAAGACTGCTATATATATTTGTCATATTTTACGAAAACTATTCAATAATACCTACATTATTTTGTAATTACAATAAAATATTTTAAATTAGGTCATATTTAATCTCTGCGTAATCTCCGATTAATTAGTAATTTACTAGGCCTTCATCATCCGCCCGACTAATGCCTAGCGTCATTCCGAACATGGCTTCAAACTAGTCTAAACACATAGTGACTGTTTTGTTTCCATGAATCAATTTCTCTTACTCTATCTCTTTGTCTTTCTTTTTTACTCTGTTAATTAATATTGGATCACGTTCGTAACACCCCATGCATTCTGCTTAATATATACTACTAGGTGATTTTCCCGTGCTCATACACGGGTATAAATATTTTTAAGTTAAATATATTATAATAATTGATTATTATTTACTATTAGTTTTAAATTAATTTATAATTTGTATGCATAATTTCTATTAATAGTATTATATTACTTTACTTATACTGTAATTTTATATATGTTATATCTAGTCAATTTTGTTGTTTTACGGTTGGTTTAGTTATCATTTGGATAAATTGGATTGTATCTCTGAATTCAACTGTAATATTTTTAAAATATATTAATTTTTAATAAGTTATTTATTTGCATATGGTGGGTGTTGTCTTAGATATGTAAATATATTTTAGGAAAATTTTGTATAACTTAAGATATATAGTGCTTAGAATGAATTAAAAATTAACTAAAGTGTCTGATTTTAAAATACGTAAATTAATATAACGAAAATATTCTAAAGTCTCAAGGATATATATAAATTTTACAAAAGAACTAAATTGTAAGAGTTGGTTAGTATTTATTTTTATTTGTTAATATGTTTTGAGTTATCATATGATCAATATAAGGTTACATGCATTTATAAATTCTAAATAACTTTATGCTTTAGATTTATTGAATGGAAACTGAAATTTATTTTAAATAATCTTAAATTGAGAATTCAGATTTGCTTTGATATTTTGATTATGGTTATATTTAGTTTCACAAATAGAAAACATAAAATTTAAAACAATTAATATTAATAAAATAAATAATTTTAATAATGATAAAATATCATATATCTAGCTCATTAGAACAATTATTTTGACCAAACGATGTTTATTGTTTAATTTATTTTTATTTTTAATATCTCTTAAAAATAAGCACTACACAAAATTGTGATTGTATTTGAAAATAATATTATATAAGAAAAATATAAGTTCTAGATAAATTTCTGTAACTGAAAGATATTATAGTCAACTAAATATATGAAAAATAAATAAAAATTTAATAATACTAATTATAAACTATTTTATGACTCTAAAATTATATTTTATGTTATTTAAAAATATTTTTAAATGTATTATTACAATTTTGTGAACTTTTCTTTTTTATGAAATTATATTATATATACATATTTTTATGTTATTTAAAAATATTTTTAAATGTATTAATACTATTTTGTCAACTTTCCTTTTTTATGAAATCATATTATATATACATATATTTTGGTTTTAAATTTGTTTTTATGACTTTATAAAAAATGCCTTTTTATTACATATCTTTTTGGAAATTTTTGAAAAGGAAAAACTAAAAATAAAAGAATTAATAATACTGTTTTCAACTATTTTTAATTCATTAAGAGTATCAATGTAATCAACCATCGTGAGAATGAACGTGAGAGCGACACATAGGAAACTGACTTCTCAAATAACATTATAGAGATATCTAAACGGAGAAACCTTTCATCTATGATTCTCCTATCGATTTTTCTTCTAGTCAAATTTTATTCATCTTCTCAAAATGATTTCATCTTCAGATCCAGTTGCTAAAACCGTTGCACGCCTCTCAACTTTCAATTATTTCTACCTTGGTCGAATAACCAGTTTGTGGTTGCTCGCCAACTTTGTTTATGGGATTCCCGGAACAATAAAAAAATGGTGAATTTATGAGAATTAGAGAAGATTAAGAAGAACTTTGGAATATAACAAGACTGCATGGTGGACCCATTTTTACTTTGTTAATTAATAATGGACCACGTTCGTAACACCTTATGCCTTCCGCTTAATATATACTCTATCTAAACGGAGGAAACTTTCATCTCTGATTCTCTTATGAATTCTTCTTCTAGTCAAATTTTATTACATCTTCTAAAAAATAATTTCATCTTCTGCTCAAGTTGCTAAAGGTTGTATGCCTCTTAACTTTCAATTCTCTCTACCTTGGTTGAACTGCTCAGTTTATGGTTTCTCGCCGCCTCCGTTTATGGGATTCCTGGAATATATATAAAAATGGCGAATTTATAGAATTTAGAGAAAAATTGAAAAGAACCTTTTCTATTTAACAAGACTGCATATTGGGTGCCGATATATATATTTTTTTAGAATTTTATTAACTAATATGAAAGATTATCACATGCCATATCGGTTCAGTTTATATGTCAAACGTCAAACGATATAATAAAATTATAGATACTTAAATTATATTTCTGATTCAGAGCTTGTGCGGAGGCTATACCCCTAGTTTTCAAAATGAAACAGATTGAAAGTTTTTCTTTGTAGAAAAAATCATTTTAATTTCTTACTAGATTTTGCCACGCGCTTTAAAAGCGCAGGTATAGTTTTGCTATTTTGATCAAATTTGATTGATTTTATAAATTTTATTAAAAATAAATAATTTTAAATTTATTATATTAGTGTTTCAAACAAAAAAAAATCTATTATATGTAATTTCCAGAAAATGTTTTCATATCCGACTCGGACTGTGGTTGAACCGATAGATCCGGCGACGTGTGCTTAATCCGGTTCAGATTCAATAAAAGTTGTTAGTTAAAAATTAGATAAAACCTTGTAAAATCTAAAACCCGCTATTAACCCGTGATTCGATATCAGATGATTCGCTGAAAACAAAAAAAAAATATTTTTGATATTTTTGATTAAATAACTCATACATTTTAATATTATATAAGGCTGAAAATTTGTAATATCTTATACTTTGATGAATTTTTTATTAAATCATTTGAAAAAATGACATAATGGTAATAAAAAAAAGAAAATTTATTGATATGACAATATTAGTTTCTTTTTCATTTTTAATAACTTATGAAAGTTATTTTTATTTATTTTAGATGTAAAATGTAATTTTGTAATAAATTTTAAAATATTTTTGTAATTTTATAATAAATATTTTATAATACGTTCAAATGTAAAAATGACATGGTAAATACTATTTGTAATTTTCATATATATATATATATATATATGTTCAAATTTTATTGATAAATAATAGTAAGCAAGAAAGTTAATATTCAAATTAAATGAAATCTATTATTTACATAAAATTAGAATTAACATTATTTACAAATTATGAATAGTATTAGTTACCAAAAATATGGGAAAAATTAAATGTTAATGGCATAGTAACGTAAATAATCCAGACTTTTCCTAAATATTTACAAGTCATGCCACTGACTTAACCGTTCGTAATTATTAAAACAAACAAACCAAAGTTTAGTTAATAATTAAACCAAACATCACCATGCACTAAACCATCTTTAATGCTAGCTATTTTTGTCTGGCTGGGTTACTGGGGAATTTGGCCTCTTTATTTTCTTTTCATTATTTAGCTGGGAAATCGTATCGTATGAATTTGGTGTTGCAGATAAGTTTATTTAAGAGTCTTAGTTTCTTTAGTGGTTTTTGTCAGGGATCTCTTTTATTACACAAGGTCTGATTCTTTTGAGGTTTTAGGTTTAATTTTTTGAAGATAATTGTGAGCTTACTAAATGTGGAGAAAATATTGAAGCTTAAGTGTTTGTTGAAATGTCGAGTGAAATTGATCTGTTTTAAGTAACTATCGATCTGGCATGGATCCAAAGTCTCTTTCTTTCTGAGAAATCAACAGTTTTTTTTTTTGTTTGGTTGGCTGTACTTAGGGTTTTGAGTTTGGTGGAGCTTAGACATTATAGTATCAAGGGGGAAGAATGGCTTGCATGAAGCTGGGATCCAAATCTGATGCTTTCCAGAGACATGGCCAAGCTTGGTAATATATATTCACCTTTTATCTCTCTTATGTTACAGTGTATCTTTGCTTCTTCTTGATTTTCTCCTTCAGACGTTGACTGAATTGGAGACTTTTGATTCTGAGTTCATGCTTTCAACTCTTAACATTTAACAAAGGGAATTTTTGTTATGTTTTTTCTTTTTCTTTTTTTTTGTAACACAACAAAATTGTTAGGTATGGATTCTTTAGGGAACTGAAGAAGGCCGTGCAATCGAAATTACTGAACATTCACACAGCTTTGATAAGGCTACTGAGGGTTTTCAAGTCTATGGAAGAGCGCTCATTTGGTATCGTTTAAGGAAAGCGAGTTTCATCTTGATGACACTGAAAAAGGCATAATTAACATATTAAAAAAAAGGCAAAATTATTTTACCAGAAAAAAAAAGCAAAATTTCAAAAATGGAAAAATACAACATGCGAAATGGAAAAATGCAAATTACCAAATGGAAAACAAAAGAAGCGAAACGATCTTCACACTATAATAACAGAAGCTAAACCCACATCATTATTCTAAGAGATACAACTTCAGCAAAAACCAAAGATGACCAGTGGAGCCCCTCTTCTTGAATACAAAATTAGTCACCGTCTGGAGCAACAACGATACGCAGACGACTTGACCATCATCGTCGACACAGAGATACTCCGACATGACTGTGGTAATACCAAGAAGAGTCAATTCTCCTTCTCATTGAACGAATTTGTCCAAGATGAATATTCTCTGAACAAAGAGAAACTTTATTATTTCCTGATAGAAGCTGGAATCGATGAGGATAATGATGCTCAGTTTATGATTAACGACATGATTTTTTCTCTTTCTGACCTGCCATGCTTAAAGAATAAAAGGTTTACTAGAGGAGTTTGGACAGTGTTCTTGTATGTTCGGTTCCCTTCGAACGAGGAGAGCACTAGTACGTCATAGTCTAGCAAGTGTTACTTTTGGCATGAAGCAAGAAGATTATTAGAGCAACTCCAATGGTGTTACTCACCATTGGAGTCCTTAACATTAAAAAATGTTTTTTTTTTTTTTTTTTTTTTTTGGAATAGTTAAGGATTCCAATTCAAAATAGCCGTCCAATGGTGTTATCCGTTATAGAGTCCTTAAGTTTTTTTTTTTTTTAATTTTTTAATTTTGTAAAACATTTAAACATAAAAATTTTATTCATTGAAAGAGTAAATGTTAACATACAATAACTAAACATCATCATCATTACCAAACTTGTTCCATATATTTTCGATCAAATCTTCTTTCAATTGATCATGTATATTCCGATCACGAACATGTTGCCGTCTGTCAAGCAAGTTACCGAGATTTGAAGGGATTTCGGTAGAATATGACATATCAACATGTGAACTTCTGCTCGAGTCTCCTTCTTCAAACTCGGATGTATCAAACTGAGTGTATCCTTACACACTAAATCATTCATCCTAGCCCACCTCTGTTTGCATTGTCCTAGTTTTCTAGGCACCGTGCCAACAAGGAGAGGACTGGAATTGTAATATTCAACAATCCTCTTCCAGAAGGCACGGCCTTTTTGTTGGTTACTCAGGACAGCGTCTTTGCTTGTGTTGAGCCAAGCACCGATGAGGATTTTATCCTCCATCGGTGACCATTTCCTCCTCTCTTTGCCAGAAGACTCTTCTGGACATTGGCTAGTAAAGGAGAGAGGAGACGATGACTCAAGGTCAATGGGTCCTTGGCTGGCTAAAAGACTGACAAAGCTAGATGAGGAAGCCATTTTCTAAGTAATGCGGTTATGTTTGGAGAGTAGATACAACGGGATTAAGAAAGGAGGAGGATTAAATAACCACTTTCTATTTAATTTTGTAGAAATCAGTCTAATCAAAACAGCTCCCGACCATTTATTGAATGCTATTTTAGATCTAAAAAGTGGTTAGACTCTATTTATTGGATGCTTTTGAACTACATTTTAAACTTAGAAGTAACTAGAAAGGCAACTAAAGCAACTAGTTTTCAAGTTAGAACAAACTACAAAGACAACTAAAGCAACTAGTTTTTAAAGTTATAATTTAGATTTTTTTTTTAGATTTTTAAGTTACAATTTCATTTAGATTTTTAAGTTACAACAAACTACAAAGACAACTAAAGCAACTACTTAAGTTAGAACAAACTACTAACCTCAACGGCCGCTCTCGAGTTGAGCCACACGCGTAAGGAGCCTCTGCACCTGCTCCTGAAAAGACAACATGAAGTAATTAGTGAGTTGTTGTAGCACTGCAAAAGTCCTAAACTTTGTATGAACACTTCACAACATGAACTCAGAAAGTCACCTTAAGTGCCTGGCACTCTCGCAGAAGCTTCTCCTGTGCGTGATACCGTTCTTTGAGCCTCTCAACTTCTTCTTGAATAGCCTTCACCCATGGTTGTCTGAAATGTAAACCGTCGTTCTGCCAAAAACACAAAAAAAAATCTATGAAATTGAAAACAAGACGAGAAACAAAATAACAAAATGAAATAAAGCATCATACCGTGAACTGTGTGCAGACGAAGTATGTCTTCCCCGGTAAGTAATCGTATGTGTCTTCTTCTTCAACGGTCTCCTTCGTAATTGCTCCACATGGGCACAGCTTTGGAATCCCAAATTGTGCTTCTGAAACCAAGTGGAGCATGTTGTAGTAGTCCCTGTGTGCTTTCTGATCTCGAAGTTCTTCCTCCATGTTATGGACCTGCAAGCAAAAACAGCTAATGATATGAGCTATTACAACCTTATTTAACCCTATACGTATTAAACAAAGCAAAGCAGACCTAAAACAAGGAATAAACGACTCAGGATGATTAGAATATCAATCGTAGACGAAATCCCTAAATTGAAAAAATTCCCAAATCAATTAGAAACCCTAACTCTTTTAAAATCCGAAGATAGAACACTAAAACAACCAATAATCGAAGCGAGATACAGAACATATCAACCATAGACGAAAACCCTAATTCTCGAAAAATTCCCAAATCGATTACGAACCCTAAATCTTTAAAAATCAGAAATAGAACACTAAAACAACAAATAATCGAAGCGAGAGACAGAACATATCAACCATAGCCGAAAACCCTAAATCTGGAAAAAAACCCTACTCGATTTGGGACTTTCAATCGATTATAACCCACCGATATAACCCCAAAACACACTAAATATACATGCATCAACTCGACATGCAAAAAAATTGAGGTTAAACTCTCCGATTTACCTTAACGGTTTCGAAATCGGCGAATCGCCTTCGATATCGCGAGAGAAAGGAAAGGGTTTTTTTTTTTGACTCGAGAGAAAGAATGACGACTTTCGACCCAACCCCCCAAACTCATCTCACACGCGAGCCTACCAAACACCGCCACGTGTTTAAGGATTGGGTCCTTCGGATCCTTACTTACGGATCAATCCTTCCATGGATCATGGGCTTTATTATTAAAAAATGCCCAAACGCCTATGTCTCCGCGCCAAGGATTGATCTTGGACCCCTGTTGGACCTGCTCTTAGAGTTTCTGTTTCTTTTTTTTTTCTTTCTACAAGGCTATTTCTCTCTCTTTGTGAGTTACATAGTACTTATAGTTGGGTCAATGATAATTATCAATTTTTTTATTTAAACTTGCTGAAAAGCTTAATATTAACAATATTCACTTTGTTTTAAACTTAACTAGATTTTGACCCGCGCTTTTTAAGCGCGGAAATTTTTTATGATTAAAATTTTATGTAATTGGGTTTTGTTTTAATTTAAAGAATGTTTTGGGATAAAATCAGTTCACCAAAATTTGTGGTGATGATTGTTATTCATTAGGATTTAGTTTCAGTTTTTATTTTTAGATTTTGTTTTAGATTTTGGTTTTTGGTTTTTAGTTTTTAAGTTTCTATTTTTGATTTTCAGCTTTTGGTTTGAGTTTTTAATTTTTAGACCCGCTGAGTTAGTTTGAACTGATATTACTAACAAACAAATCCCAAATAATCGAACATCTAATTTAAAACTGAAAAGATGACAAATTTTTTTTTAAAGAAATTTGCTATAGTTTATTTTGTAAATAAATAAAAGCAAAAAAATATAACCTGTTTTTCAAATTTTGGTTTTGGATTTTAGTTTTTAGATTTGGTTTTTGGTTTTGCAGCTTTTGCTTTACATTTCTTTTTAAATTAGTAAATTATTTAAGAGAAATAAAATAATAAATTATTTAAAAGTTACTATTGAAATTTCAAAAAAAAAGTGATTGTTATTTAAAATAAAAAAATACATTAACATGTTTTAAAGTACATGATTTAAATAAATGTTTAATAATAGATAATTTTGTTTTGTTAAAAATATTAAATATCTTTTGGACATGAAAATAATAATTTATTTTTGATCCATTAAGGTGGAAAGTTTATTAAATGTTTTTTTGAGTTTTTTCTTAATATTAAGCCCAAAACCAAACCATATAATTTGTTTTAAGAACAAAAGTAAGCCCAAGACTATATCTCATAAATAACCACCGATTTAATTTAAAATATGCGGTTCAAATAATTATATGACTTGTATTATTTGTAACACTCTAGAAATGGTCCAAATTTAAATGACAACTTGTATCAGTAGATAAAAAAATGACTCTATTTTAATAGAGTAGATATTGTTCTAGTTCTTTTTTCTAAACAAAACAAGTTTTGCTTTGAAATACTCACAGTCTTGGCTTAAATCTAATTTAATAGTCTAACATATAATTCCGGGTTGTTTAGCTTGGTCTGTAGAAAATGTTGCCTACCATATCACAAATATCAGAATTCAAATCTCTTCTCTTTATTTCATCATGCTGTAAAAGCAAAGTAACTAGTGTGTGTAAGACATGTTTATGTATGAATTGTCCATTTTAAATCCGTTACTGCTTTAGAATCGATGTGATTGTTAGCTTCTCCTTAAAAAAAAAACTATATGGCAAAGGTCACATCTTCTATAGAAAATTCAAATACTAAAAAAAAAAAACGAATAAAACTATGAAAAATGGAAGTCGTTCAATACTATCTATAATTCTCATGGTGAAACAATGGAGTAGTGCAACAAAACTTTATCAAGAACAAATTTCTCTATTCTCGACTGATCTCAAACTCAGCTCCTATCGGTAAATGATCACTCGGGTGGTGATTGTTTGGTAAGAAACCCACAACATCTGGAGATTCCAGTTGAGGTAGCTGGAGGATACTGACAGGTTTGATCAAGTCCGAAGGAGAGAGGAAGATGTAGTCAAGCGTGTTTGTGAAGCCAGGAGTGCAGTTTGTGAACTTAGGCTCTCCTCTTGTCACTTCATAGACACTACACAGAGGAACTGGTGCTTCTCCCTCTTCTTCCATGGTCTCTGCAGACTTCCCATTACCCGACACCAGGTACTCATAAACCTGAATTTTAGAAGAAACAAGATTGTTTATTAAAATTTATTTGCTGACAAAGAAAAATAAAAATAAAAATCTATCTATGAAAATAGTTCTGAGGAACTGTATCAAACCTTATCCCCAGGAATTGAATTGAAGTCACCAGCTAATAATATAGAAGGTGTACATTCAAATTCATCTGCTATTACAGTCTTGAACTGAGCTAGTCGTGAAAGTAGATACTTGGCTTGTGCAAGCTTCACATCAGCCAGCTCCGGGTCCCTGGAAAGAAACAAACAGGAAATGAAACATGTGGAGAAAGTATAATCTTTAGTGGGAGACAATAGAGTGTTCTTTTACCAGTAAAGATGTGTGTTGGCCACGATGACGATGTGATGAAACGGCTTGCTGATCCTAAAAGCAGCCATTATTCCAACACAATCGCGTTTTAGTCTCACTAGTGGATCACTAAGGTCACGGCTGTCTTTTCGAGAATCTTTTTTTGTTTTTTGTTTTTTGTTTTTTGTTTTGAGAGGTCAGATTTTTGTGGAAACATGCCAACAATAGATAAGAAGTTGGTAAATGATGTTGAGAGATGTAAAGAAACACCACAAAAGAAAGGAGGACAAAGTTACCTTTCGCTTTCTCATCACCTTTTGATTCATTGGAGGTCTCAGTCTCCTGTGCGCTGCAGGAAACACTGTCTGCCTTTACTGAGTCCAAAAGATCATTATATTCGATCCGTTCTTTGGCGACTAACTCTGCACTAAATCCACATAAGAAAAGAGTGTTGTCTCAATCAGATTAAGGTTTCTGCATTAAGTTAAAAATAAAAACGTTCTTTGGTCTACGCTTAAATGTGTGTGTGTTTAAAGCATACCAGCCAGGCTTGTAGAAGATTGCACAACCGTCACGCTTCCTCTGTCCGGTTCTCTGAATATAAATCCCAGAGTAGCCCAGAGTGTCCATATTTTTCCTGTAAAAGCTATCGTACTCATCTACTTCCTGAGAAAAAAACGTAAAAACAATATTAACTAACAAGTGGAGACGCACATTAATTCAAAGGTGCAACACTAACAAGTATACAGGTAGTAGATCATCTACCGCATTAGGAAAAGGGTTTCTCAGTTATAAGCAAACAACAAAAGAAGAAATGTATCACAAGAACAAACCTGCAAACAAAAGAAGTCAGCTTCGAGTTTTCTGAGCACGCCGAGAATTGCAAGTGAACGAGCTTTCCATCTAAAAAAAGATGAAAGACAAAAAAAAGTCACATTTACTGAAAATAACATAACAAGCACAGTGCTCTAAGCTTCAAGTAGATAATCGTGTTAACAGATCATTAATGTGAGAGCATAGTGAAGCCTTTTTCTAGCAAAAGTTGTTGGATAGGATCCATTACTGTTTGTGGGGGTTCTAATAATGATCAGCAAGGCAATTTGATGCAATACAGCAAACTCTTGACAATTTACAAGAGTGAGAAAAGAAGAGGGTGGGGTATATACTTGAGGCAGGCCGGTGGAGAGTGTGGGAGAAGGGAACTCTTCACATAAACCTAAAAGAAAGATGACTCTCAAAGAGATCAGTAGGAATTAACACAGAAGGAATAGATTAAAAGAAACTCGACTGAATTTTTGATGTCAACTCGAATTTACATACAAAAATATATATATATATATATATATATATGTCAAAACGTTAAGCTAGACCATAGCATAATGAAAGAAGATTTGATTACCTGAGCTAATATGTTATAAGACACGAGACGGAATCTGATACCTGCAACTGCAATGCAAACACCTCAAATCAGATTATCAAATTGGTTTCAACCAAGAGACAAAGGTGGTATACATACCATCAGGTTTGCTTATTATTATTGACTCGAAATTCCGAACTTTAGGCTCAGTTGCAGGATTCCTACTCATTCTTTTCGAAACAATCTTCCTGCACACTCGATAACTGTTTGTGTTCAATCAATCAATCAAAAGGGTCACAAGAACTATGTAGATTTGACATTAACACGCTTCTTTAGTCATCATTGCCTATTTACCCATATAAATTCGAGAGGAAATATGAGAAATTTCTAGCTAAACCAAACCTGTTGGTGGTGGTGAACGAAGGAAGGATCTGATGAAGAAGAAGCAGATTAGTATTCTTATACATCTTTCTATTGAGCTTATGACTTAATTATAACCTTTTGGCTTAGACACGATAGGGTTGGAAATAAAATCAAAATTAGTTGTACTTCTGTTCAAATTTGGCCTACTTTCACCATTAAAATTACATAATATTTACTGTTTATTTTAATTT